CTAAAAAGGATTAGAGGGTGGATCACAATTAATTAGCCTCTGCTGGAACTTCAAGTCAAGGAAAATTGGCAGATAATAATTTAGTAGAAATTATATGTCTAAACGTGAGTACCATTCTGAACAGGTAATTAGCATTGTTAGAAGCTTCCAGCTGAGGTTTTAACTCACATGACATATGGAAGCCACCTGTCACAGTGCCTGGTACATAGCAATTACTCAATTAATGATTATTATTAATCTCACTTTTAATGCTCAGTTCTTTAAACACTGTTTCTTTTCTTTGATGAACAGTGTTGATTTCTTTTCTACCTACAACAATGGACTCTTGATACCAGGACAGATTTTTTTTTAAGTATCTTCAAGTTAAAGTGTGCCTTCACCCGAATCTCTGCACTTGTCAGCAGGACATGAACACGACAAAGTAGGACCAGGGCTATTGTTTGTTCGTTAAGTGGAGAGAGGCAGATAATGTACTTTTTATGGATGTACATAGATTACTGCAACCACTTCAATCATAGTGTGGAGGTCTGAATTCAGGTAATAGAGGATTTATAAATTAATGAGTTTCAAATGCCTCATCACATGATATCTCAAGGAATCCAAACATTTATTTAGTAGCTATAAAATCTTCTTGATACTTCTCCAACTAGTTTGTTAAAATGAAATTTTGAAAAATAAAGGATTATTTTTCATATAAAACATGCATAAGAAGTCATAATATCATATGATTCAATCATGATGATGAAACTAACCTAAGTCTCATTTGAACAAAGGTCTTTAGAGTCTATCTAATCTGATGCTCTTTACTGGAAGTCATAAGAAAATTCCCTAATTGGATCAAAGAAAATAAAGGGATATACTAACAAACTAAAATGTACAAGAAAATGTGAATTTTATGTTCTTTTGTGAGGTTATTTACTTGCTTATTTGTATGTTGGTCTAGAAATATGTGAAGAATATATGTATTTTTCTTCTTGTTAGCTTTGACTTTCATAGATTACTTGTCTCTTTACTTGTTCATTATCGACTAAAATCTTAAAATTACATCTTTTGGATTGAAGCTTGGAGTTAAACTCTTGTCGAAATAGATGCCTTCCCTTTTTAATAGTTCCCATAAAATCAATGGCATTGTCAGGGGAGGAATCTTTCATTGTTCTCCATCCTAAATTTACACATATAGATGCCAAGTCAATTCAAACTGAATAGAGAGAAGAAAATTTTTTGTGGTTTAAGTTAGGAGACTTTGAAAGAGGAACCTCCTACTTACTAGAAAAGTGCTTAACCACTGAGTTTCACATATAATCCAATTTTTTGACACTTCAGACAAGGTCTAATTACAATTTTCAGGCTTCCTTTCAACTCAAATTTTATCCCAAGTAGGCCTTAAATGCCTGATCCACCTGCTTCAGTCTCCAAAGTAGCACAGATAGTAGCTACGTTACACTACACTCAATCAGGACCAAGTTAATTGGAGGCAAAAGACTAATATTTCCTGGAAATATGGTATCCATGACTCTGATTTTCATCTTCATAATAAAAGTTATTAAATAATAATTCCATTTAATCCAAGTGTGGTGGTGCATACCTTTAATCCTAGAATCTTGGGAAGCATAGGCAGGCAGATCTCTGTGAGTTTAAATGACAAGTCCCAGGCCAGCAAGTAAGGCCCTGACCCCAAAACCCAAGACAACACTAACAATAAAATATAAGCAAGGCTATTGGGTCTTAAAACCTTTTCTATTATGGGACATCTTAAGGAATATTTATTTTACCAAATACAAGTGTAATAAGGAAAATAAATTTTTATCCTGTCTTTTTCAACCAGAAAAATATCTCATCTCTGCCCAGACTCGTACTTTTCCCAATTCCTTGCTTTTGCCTCTTAGTTTTGTATAATTTTGATCCTGTAGGACAGTGAGTTCTTAAAATGCATTTGTCAGAGCACAGTTTTGCACAAGGGTTCTGCTGTTTGCCTTCTACGTCATCGTGTTTAATTTAACAAGCTTCCATTTCTGTGCAAATGTAACATCTATACTAGGAACACCATTCTGAGACTCACTTCAGGATTCAATTCAGTCTGCATTTCAACTAAAGCAGCCCACGATTAGAATGATAGAGATTCTAATTACTTTTTTCTTCTAGGAGGTCTAGCTTGAAAGGATAATTTTCTGAAAGTAACTGTAAGACTTTTTTGGAAATACCCACAAGAACAGGAGAAACTGAGGCAGAGAAACAAAGAAGGAGAGCAGATTCAATACAGAATTATGCAAAGTTCAAAATCTGCTTTCGCTAATTATATGAGTTCTGGGGAAAATGGAGTCACATCCAATGTGGTCCTGTAGTCCCAGACAGAGCAGTTGGTGGGTGTATCTATACCCCGAATTCAGAGTATGAAGAGCGCTTCTTAGGGACAATTGATATTCCTACATTCTTTTAGCTTTCTGTGCAGCTATACTTGGCTACAGCAGTTTGACAGCAGTTGACAAGAAAGGACTGTACGTGTCAGTGAGAAGGAACATGCAGATCTGTGAGCCATGATTCTCGAAAGTAGGAATAGAGAACTGGCAAACACCTGAATCTTTTTGTTGCACTGCACCTATTAGAAAATTTCATCTACAGAATATGCTTCTTTTCCACCATCAAACAGCACTTATTAAGTGAAAATCCAATGCAGTCACCAAATTCTTTGTTCTTGGGAAAGTCAGGATAGGTGGGATTAGTGGAGCTTATGTTTGACACCACATAATAAGGCCACTGAAAATAGAGAAACACTATCTGAAATCATAGATTCTTAGGTTACAATGAGAGGGTAGTGCAATACAAGTATTTCCTGGTAATTAAGAATAGCAACCGCAGCAGAGATAAACAAAAACATACCTCTGCTTGTTAGCAATAAGGAAGGTCAATGATATCATATGTACCTATTGTAATTATATACAGTGCCTATAAAGATTTTATTGCTGGAAAAGTTTATACATTTGGTATGAGATTACAGTGATTATGCTTTCTGTCAGTTTCCATGTATTTATGGATTTAGTAATCTGAAAATTGTGTATACCTTCACAATAAATGTGAAGCAGTAAGATACAATTATGAGAAAATATTCAATATTTAATCATTTTTTTACCTTAAAGTTTTGGGCTATGAGCTTCTTTTGAATAATTTTGTGTGTTTTTGCCATACACCTCAGATTTTCAATTCTAAATACATAATAACAGATGTTTAATTTATACAGATATCTGATTCTCTATCACCAATTGGATAAACTAATTTTCATAGAAAAATTATAAAACAGGTAATAAATGTATGATCAGTGTAGAAATTTGATTAGAGAGGGACATAAATGGCATCTGTTTCACAACTGCCCCAAAACAACATTACTGTGCTTACATAGACAATGTCTGTATATTTGCAATTGAACATCATTTTCAGTTTGAAATGTCTCAGGTGTAGGGAATATCTTTCTATATAAATACATTTCCTGAAGAACTTCATTTTCATTCATTAGGAGCTCTAGAAAATGAGTGATTAAGAAAACCAGTAACCGGGGTAATTGTTGTAGGGGGTATACCAATTTAGCAAAATGTCAATCTAAAGCTGTGGCAAATGGCATTTTAAAAAGATAGAAACTAAAAATGTGGTATTTCGTGTTGAATAAATTAAAATTACAGCAAGAAACTGTATATTAATTTTGAGAAAGAGAGGCAACTCAATCATTGGTTTGGAACATGTTTCCTGATTGCTGTGTAGAAGCCCACAAGTTTACCCTCTATTTCTCTTTGGTGTATGTAATGGAACAATCATATGTTTTAGCCCATGAGAATTTCTAAGATTTCCCCAAGTTAGTGGCTGTCTTCAAAGCTTCTCTGGAGCCATCACTTATTTTCTCCACTTATTTGCTGCTCAGACTCTGCAGATCTTTACCTGTCAGCCATGCTGCTCATAATTGGATCGCTCTCCAGCATCACTCTTGGTGATTTAAAGAAACCTTACATCTTCCACAAGGCTGATCATTGGATTTTGCCAAAGGACTTACTAATATTATTGTCAGTATAAATTTGAAATACAACTAGTAGGGATATCTAAGTCATCTGAAACATACCTTAAAGGTAGAGAAGAAGGGAAGCTTGACAAAGTACACTGGAGTTTCATTTTACAAACGATGTGTTTCATTCTGCATATGATGATGTGGCCCCTTCTACCAGTGATTTAAAACTAGTTGATTTCTGTTTGAAACATAGTTTCATATCATTTTTATTTTAAATATATCCATATTAGACTATAATATTAAATTCCTGTAAGTAGAAAAACACTATTTATAAATATGGTCTAATTGGACACAGGGAAAATGTAAATTCATTTTTATTTTGGTGCAATTTTAATAGTATGCAAATTACAAATAAGACATATTGGGTTTCAAATTTATACAGATTTTTTTTCATGTTACTCATATCCTTGACAATAAACTCACCTATCATACATATTTCAATATAAAAATGATAATTTAGCTATAGAATAGCCTATTATTTTTAAATTGGAATCTCTAATTTTGTGTAGAATCTGCTTTAGTCTTAAATGTTAAATTCTCCAAGTAATTTTCCATGATCAACACATTTCTACTGATTAAATTGTGTTACTGTCTCTGCATCTTGTTTCTTTTGTTTCAGTTACTACAATTTGCATATGTATTTACTTTTACACTCTAATTATAATATGTTTCTCTGTTAATCTAAAAACATTGCAAGGGCAGAGGGCCTGTGCATTCTATCAGCAACATGTTTCCTAAGGATAGCACAAGGTTTTGTCAATGGCAAGTGATTAAGCAAATCTGAAATAGATGGCTGAATGAATGAGTGGTGAATGACTGTGTCACCTGAAAACTAATCACACTATAATAGATTGGATTATCTTACTTGAGAGTGAATTTCAAGGTTTCTCTTATTTTGTCCTGCTTTCATAATGACAACCACTGTCTATTCTAATGAAGTGTAACTGTTTAGTCCAGTCCCTGATATTAGTTGGAGGAGGTTGGATGGAAACCCGATGCCAGGGAAAGTCAAGTACAGCAAATCCCAAGCTATCCTTGAAATCCCCAAGTTTCAACAAGAGGATGAAGGCTTCTATGAGTGCATCGCAGGTAACATTCGAGGAAGAAACCTTGCAAAGGGTCAACTTGTTTTTTATGGTGAGTACATAGAATTGCAAAATGTGTAGGGTGTTTCTCTGTGCTTCAGAGCAAATAGGGGAAGTCATTAACGTATTGTGGACATGTATCATGGGAAAAATTCGAAAGACACGTTCCCATTGGATGATTAATTCAGTGATTAACAGGTAGAGATAATTGTCTTTACAATATAGCTTTTAAATTAGTATCTTAGAGAATAAAGAGCTTGTTTTGCAAATATTAGGAATTTGAACTTTCCTCAACCACACAAAAATCTGTACATGGGAACATACACTTGCAATTCTATATCTGGGAATATTAAACCATAGCTTTTCTGAGGAGATCTTGGCAGTCTATCCAATCAATGAGCTTCAACTTGGGAAAGAATTGCTGTATCAAAAATAAGATAGAGCAGGATCCATGAAGATACCCATTTAACATCTCTCTGCACTCCATATGTGTATGTGTGAACATGTACAAGCATATACATCTGCAAACAGGCATACAACACACACACAGAGACACACAATGACATAAATTCCAGCACGTCTGTGCATGACATTGTTTATTATAGTTGAATGAGGAATGTCAGCAATTTCGTGTTAACAGCATTAAAATTTATCACAAAGATAACATGACTAAAATACATTGCCCATAGAATATTCAAGAGTAGCCTATGGCTATCTTAATTATTATTCTGAATATGACTTACAAAGTGTAAAAGTGAATAGAAAAATAGACTGAATGACAGAATGAATTGCATTCCTTTCACTTTTTCAGTACTTGTCTGCCCATTTTTTTATTATTTTATTTTTTTTTTCTGTGTACCACATTCATGCCTGTTTCCTAAGATAACAAAAGAAGGTGTCAGATTCCTCACTGTCACATAGGTGCTGAGAATCAAGCATGGATATTCTAGAAGACCAGCTACTGCTATTAACTCCTGACCCATCTCTCCAATACCACTAAACTTATAAAATATGTAAAGCAATTATTACACTATTTGGTGATTCCAAGATATAGAACTCCTAGAAACTGTATTGTTCATAGTCAAAATATTTTTCTATATATTCTAATTCTGTCACTTATAAAGTTAATAATAATAATGTTTGGATAATCTGACAAGTTTATTGTAATTATCTCATAGCAGTAATAACTGAATATCCTGTGAGGATACTGTATGTGTTTTTGGCTATATTACTTCCTCTTTCATTTAGAATTTTCAGTTTTAACCTGAAGTGAAAGTTGTTTCTCATAAATAGAATATAATTTCCTTTTTTATTATTGTTCTACAATTTTATTGATGCTTGCCAAGAAAAGTAATTTGAATTTTCAGTAGTACTCAATTCTTAAAGGACATTTTTGTCATTTGAAATCTTTGGCAATATATTAGTAAAGAAACAAGTGAGAGTTTTACCACATTAAAAGTATTAAAGTTTTGATTCAGTTTTGATGAAAAAATCATATTTTTATATAACACAAAAAACTACAGCTCAGTGATGGATCAGAATACAATAATCTATAGACTGAATTAATAATAAACTACTTTATTCTGTACTCTATGAATCTTTTAAGACACAGAATTTTAAAAGCATTAACTCATAATGTCTAGAATAATGTCAGTCATAAATAATTTTTGGTGATGTTACACTTTGGGGATTTCAGATTAGTTTACCAAGATCTCAGAGGTATTAATATCCAAAATCAAGGTCAAAACTTTGAAGAATCATGTAAAAGTAGACTCTACTATAGCTTTTTAACACAATGATCCAAGTCCATGTCACTAGTTAGCTGTTCAGGGTAACTAGCATTCATTTTGGAAAATGAATAAATGATGAAGTAGATAATCAGTATGTATCATAGTCACATATTTATTTATATGGCATAAACTAAAGAGAAATCTTCCTGTTAGAGCTGGATAATACTGGAAAATCAAGAAGGAGTTTCCATTTATTATATTGATGAGCTTGAGTTACAACCTAGGAATAGACATTGACATTGTATTTCCTCATGTATTTTGTATTTTAACCTCTGAAATTAGCCTTTAATGTATTACTATAATTGCAGACAATATAATGTGTTTAAAAGGGTCAGTTGGTATTATATACCTAGCAGTAGGAGAGAAATATACAAAACTCAAACTTGTATGGTAAAACAAAATTATTAAGTAAATTTTTCCATATTTTTTTCATAGGCAAGCATTTAAGACCTTTCTCACTAAAATACTAAGAATTCAATGAATATGCACGTTAAATAAATGAATGTGTCTTAACATTGCAATAATTTCATTAAGCAATATGTATGTATGCATGCATGCATGCATGTGCTATTCATGTATGTTGTATTTTGAGGCTTAAGAAAAAGTTTGGATTTAAGAGAATGTACTACTGTTGCAGAGGACCTGTTTTCAATTTTCAGAAACTGTATCAGGCAAGTCACAAGGGTCAGTCTGCAACTCCATCTCCACATGGATCTGACACCTCTGACTTCTGTGAGACATGCATGTTCCCTCACACAGACAGGCAGACAGACACACACATCATATAAACATATATATAATATATTTTATATATAATTTAAATTGATAATGATGACCCTTTTAAACTTAGGTCTTAGCCTTCACAAACTATGAAGTTGAATATAAAAATTGCAATTTTTTCTCAGGTAAAACATGGATTATCACTATTTTCTCATAAATATTTTAGAAACAGCACACAGAAAGAAGGTTCAGTTTTTGACAGTGCACCGGGTTCCTTCACACAGTGCAGTGATTTGCTTCTCAAGGCTTCAAGAGACATGTTCTAAAATTAGAAATAGATCTGATTTCCACAGGAGATAATCACAGGCTGAGTCTCACCACCCAGGGTTACCACGACTCCTTCTATTTGGTGACCAGCTCCCTACAGAGCCTTAATGGAGGCTTGTATCACAATAGAAAATCCTGGAATCAGATACATGGGTTTTGTAGTATATAACATTTCAACTCCACATGGCCCTATTTCTTCCTCTACTTGCTGTAGTTGAGTGTAGCACAACATGTTACAGGGCTAGGATGAAAGACTCTGGCATCAGGTGCATGTTAAGTACCTAGTTTCACAGTCATATTTATTTCATTTTATTTATTTTTTTCTGCTTCTTCAACAGCCTACTCAATACCATTGCATCTATAGACAGGATGAGCAGTAGTCTGTCCTTAGATGATTGCAGGCAGGTACCAAGGAATACTTGCCTCCCTGCTTCCCTTTGCTTTCCCTATGTAGATAGCTCATGAAAATACAGTAGATGTGTGTTTAAAACACATCTTGTTGTTGCCTCAGTTAGTAACTTCACTATTATTGACTTTATTTCTGTACAAGCTGAAGAATCTTAGTCTCAAACTTCTCCATTGAAGTAGCACTCACCTAAAAGGCAGTGCTTTCCTCTGTTCAATGATTAAAATTTGGCTTCTGAATTTTAAAATACCATCTTGAAAGGGTTGTCTGACATCTCTGCAAAAATATAGAGGCAACTGACCCTGCTGAAGCCAGAGTTACAGGCAGTTGTGAGCTCACAATGCAGAAGTGTCAAACATCTAGATAGACTTGTCCAGACATTCCAAGGAAAGGCAAGTACTCTGCCTTCCACAAGGAGAGAACTTAAGGAGACATGAGATCAGCAATTATGTGTGGGTTTCAAGTATCTGTAACAGAAAGAACACTCAAGTTAGTACATCTCATTTGCACCCCAGCTCTCTTCCTGAATAGACAGTAAGGATAACAACTCCTTCCTTTCCCATTTGATACACCAGTTGCTTTATGCTTCCTACTGTGCAGAACTTTCTTAGATGAGAAAATGAATTTTGTAAAACTCCCTGCATAGGTCTAGTATCTTTACTGTCATTGATTCCAAAGCTATCACCTTCTCATTCATGCACATAGACTTCAGCTGAGCCAAGATGCCCCAGTTCCATGGTACCCCTTGTCAAATATCAATATTTCAGCTATTAAAGGGAACCTACAAGCTAGGTGTTGGGCCCTTATATTTGGAAATCTGCCCAGAATATCCATTGTCTTTTAGATGTAAGCTAATAGCTGCTGGGTGTCCTGGTCTTGGTGGAGAATGACTTCTATCTAAATAATAATAGCCTTGGGCCAGGGAGAGTCTATACCACCCTGAAGGCTATTGAGTGTCTTTAGGATTTAGGAGGGGAAAAAATCAGCTCCTTGTGTAGGTTTAAAGTCTGCATCCCTCCCTTCTCAAGAGCCCAAAGGATACTGGATTATCTTATTAAAAGTGGGGCTCACATTTATATTGTCAAGATATTGTGCTGGATTATTTCTGGGTTGGGTACATTTAATTTTTTCTTAGCTTTGAACATATATATTTTTGAAAAATTTCCCTCAAATGTTTAGATTTAGTCTTTACTTCTCAAATGACTTATGCACTGTGATTTAGCATGGCAATATTCTTTAGCTGTCTTCTGCATTTTGACCTTTACTCAGAATTTACAAATTTTTGCACAGGTGCAGCAAAATGACAGACAGCAACCTTTTGCCTGAGCCAAATATGGGGTGATAATTGGGAAGGTTGCCCCTGCTAGACTCCTGAAGTTCTTCTCACCCTGCCCCCACCACATGCCTCACATATCATAATGGCAGTTCACCTGGACCCCGTTAATCCTCTCATAACTAAGAACTCGAAACTAACTGTATTACCTTGATTCAGAGGCCAACAATATATCTTCAATCTGTTTTATTTCTTTCTTACTATTTTTTTTTGTAAACAGCTCCTCCAGAATGGGAACGGAAAATCCAAAATACATACCTTTCTATTTATGACAGCTTGTTTTGGGAATGCAAAGCTAGTGGAAAGCCAAAACCTTGGTACACATGGCTAAAGAACGGTGAACGCCTCCACCCAGAGGTAAGGAACTATATATCAGAAATACATCCTCTTACAAGTATATTTTGTTAGAGTACCAGTCATTCTCAGTAGTAACTGATGTCTTTGGATTATTCAGTTTACTCCAGGGAGGGAAACTTCCATTTATATAATCCTTAAAGAAAAAGGAAGAAAAAAGGGCTGGGAATAAAACTTGGACACATTCACGGTAACAGTGATTTATCCACGTTCAGATGTCATTAGCACATGTTCAGGCAACACTAACAGGATTCAATGTGATCAATGAAAAGGAAAAAGAAAGAAGGGAAAGTAAACTTGGGAGGGAATGTTTGGGATAGATATAGGGGAGTTGATGTGGAGAACTGTGGGAGATATAGTCAAAAGACATTGTATCAAGTATGAAATCTGAAGGAAAAGACATTCCAAATATTAACAAATTAAAAAGATTGCATCATCATCAAACGGAACAATTGATAAGCTCTCCTGTGTGAGTTCTCCTGTGGGTCAGGTCTCATATTCTGTGTCTTTCTGTCTTCAAGATAATGTAAGAGAGATAGATAGTCATCATTCCTTTAAATATATGAAGAGCTACATATCAGAGAGACTCAGACACTTGACCAGTATTGCACAGCAGCTACTAAAGTTAAAATTGGCCTTCAGAACAGTATCTGTGGGTACCATCCAGATGAGAAATACAGAGAAGCTAAATTATTTCCCAAGGTTACAGAACAATGAGTAGAAGATGTAGTCTACTAAACTTTATCTAATAGGAGGACTCATAATCTGAGTTGATATCCACTCACCTGCTTCTAGGAAAAATGATGACTTTCCCTACTACTATAAAAAAAGTTCAGAGACTTTGTACACATTTTAAATATGAACATACTTTCTCTTATAGTGTCTATACCATGAGAGAACTTTCCCCTATCAAATTCTCCAGATAATTGTATTAATATTGCATTTTATATTTCACAAGTAGAAATAGACAAAATCATAAACAATATGTTATTTGAAAACTAAAACCAATATTTGTGTGTGTGTGTGTTTGGTTCAGTGGATCGTTCCCCAGAATGCCTTTGGAATTCCCTCTTTTCCTTTGTTTTCTTTAACCCACTTACTTTATCCTTAGATAATGGTAGCAGATGCATTGAAATGTTTAGTTTAGGTTAGATTTATTACTATTAACTTCTTTACTTTGTGCACCCAAAATTGTATTTCAGTTCCCTGCATGACTCCTGGGAGCAGATGTTTGATGCTGAGGCAGGTTTTCATTAGAGGAGATTGCAGAAAGGAAGACTCTAGCCTCACTAACTTAGAACTCAGGCAACACATTCCAGAATGTTTGGAACTTTCTAAAGTATTTTGAATATCATGGAACAATCCTATACATTCCATTTAAAGGATGTCAATTTTCACAGAAATGACATAGCATGGATTATTCCAGTCCCCCAAAATTATTCCAAAAAAATTAGACTTTGTATTCTTTTTTTGTCTTTAACTTTAGAAACCATACAGGATCTCAAAGTGAAAGTTGTCAAAGATAGGTGCAAATGTTCTTCATTAATATATTTTTGTGCAAGGGATTGCTTACATTAACAAAGAAGCACCTTTTATATTAATGTAAAACACCTTTTGATGTCTATTCCTTTATTAGGAGAGAATACAGGTTGAAAACGGCACTCTTATCATCACCATGCTGAATGTGTCAGACTCCGGGATCTACCAATGTGCTGCAGAAAACAAATATCAGACAATTTATGCAAATGCAGAACTGAGAGTGTTAGGTGAGTCGTTCACTTATAACCAAGAAATTTGAAATGAAACCTTTACATACTATTATTTATACATCATCTGAACCTGATTTTTTTTCCTGTGAACAAGAAATTACTTTCCCTAGAAACAATGAGAAATATCTCAATTAGTTTTTTACAACATGAAAGGTTTTAATTAATTTTCTATTTTGGCAATGCATTAAGATCCATCATTAAATGTATGACAAATTCAGAAGGGATTTAATCAACTAACTATTTCTAGTGGGTGGTCTTGAATACAGAACAATGAGATCAAATGGGAGTCTTTTCAGCTACAAATATGAGCGTGAGAATTATTTTCAACCCCACAGACATAAGTAAAGCAGGTGACAGTTTAGAGAAACTTAAGACATGGTGACCCACTTTATCTCTTCTAAGGTGTGCACTGGCTGTCCAGTAGTACACTGTAGCTGTCAAGTAGGACACTGTAGCTGGGCCTTTATACTCAGAACTTTTTCATGCAGATGTGTAGATGTGTGGGTTCAAGATGGCTGCTGTAGCTGCAGACATCAAGTCAAAATTCAGGGCAGGAGTAAAGGAAGTAGACGGATCCCCCCATATCTGTCTTCTAGTGTAAAAGAACAATTCCTTAAGCTTCTCTTCATTTACTTAAGTGGAACTCTGTCATATTTTCATGCAAATACTGAAGAAAGCATAGAACAAGAAAAACAGTTCCTTAGGGTAACAAGTGCTAAGGTTGGAACACTATGAAATTGGCACCTCATGAATTTCAAACAATGGAGTCTGCTGCAATAAATGAGTGTGAGGTATTTTTACTCATGAGTTGATTAGTGATAGGAAGAATAGAGGAAACAAGAAGAAAGTAAGAGATCAGATATAGGTTTCTGGATGTCAGGAATCTTGCTCATTCTTTGATCACTACTATTTCACTGGGCATTTATTATATTCCATGCTGCAAGAATAAAAATACTCAAGGGAGGGTGACTTGTACCTTTACTGAACTTAACTTTTACTGAGAAAATAGCCAAATTAAAAAGGTGACTATAAGTATAGTTGAGAACGGACCTGTTTGTATTCAAACACAAGGCAAGCTGAATAGAACCTTAATAGAGAACACTCTTTTCAATCTGGTATCACAAAAGCAACTTGCACAGGCCAAATGAAGGCAGAGAAGCAATTCCTTAAAAAGGCAAGAAGTCAGATATTTGTAAACGTCTGTTCTCTTGTAGAAATTGAGATTAGATACACAGCTCTAACATCCAGGAACATGGAAGGCTAAGATGCTTCCAAAACCTGCTTTATTTGTTCTCTTTTCAGTGAGCTATCATTTATCCAACATGGCAGAAACAACACTGAGACTGACAAATGTGATGTTTCTTGTTTGTTTGTTTGTTTGTTGGCTTTGGTTTTTCAAGACAGGGTTTCTCTGTGTAACTTTGAAACCTGTTCTGGCACTCACTCTGTAGATCAGGCTGACCTAGAACTCACTTAGATCCACCTGCCTCTGCCTCCAGAGGAGTGCTGGAATTAAAGGCCTGTGCCACCAATGCCCAGCAAATGTGATGATTTTAAGTTTCAGTTTCACATAGCTCATATACTTCTGCTGAAGACAAATTATATTTCCCCACCTATTTTCTACAAGAAATTGGACATAGTGACAAAATACTTGGATTTGCTTCAGTGATATAAATCATATATATATGTATATACATATACATATATATCAGGTTTCTATTCACGCATATATATATATTGTATGAACGTGTATATGTGTGTGCAAGTGTGTGTGTGTGTATGTGCGCGTGTGTGTGTGTGTGTGTGTGTGTGTGTTTATACTTAAACTGGCCTAAGACAGCTTGGGTATATTACAGTTTACAGTTTGCTTTGAACACAAATGTTAAATTTTATCCAGCATATTGGTTTTATCGTAAGTTGCTGTGTGTTGAGTGAATTAACAATTCAATTTTTAATTTAATTTTTAGCCTCAGCTCCAGATTTCTCAAAAACTCCCATTAAAAAAACTTCAGTTGTTCAAGTTGGTGGTGATATTTCTATTGAATGCAAACCAAATGCCTTCCCCAAAGCATCTATTTCTTGGAAAAGAGGAACAGAGAGCCTAAGGGAAAGTAAAAGGTAAAAATCTTTACTTTATAAGTACATTACTGTATTTTATAATGTACCATCTCACAAACCCAGCTTTTTCCTCTGTGACAAATTTTCAGTTGGAGTACCCCTAGATGCCAACATCCTATACAAACATAAGTAGCTATAAAGCTAAAGCCTTTTTGTGTAATTTGGCTACACTATTTTCATTGCACACATTTATAATAGAGGTATATTTTTAAAATCCTTTATGACCCTTTTTCTATATTCAGTTTCAAGGCTTTTTGCTGACCTAGACTGCTGAGAAATCAGTAAGAACATTATACAAAGGCAAGAGACACACCTAAGCACACACCTGGTGCTGTGGTTTTTAATAGTCACACAGGTGTTCACTCCATGATTAAATGAATTCACCACATGAAAAAAATTATGGAGAGGTTCCTGTAGAGAAGCAAGAGAGGATTCCTTCCAGAATGGATGCAGGTGAGAAATCTGAAGTCATCACTTGGATGTTTTCTAGGACAGAGCAGGAGAACCGAATACTTACCTTTTTTTTTCAAAACATATATTGTTCTTCATTACATTGCTCTATAGGTCCTTGTGTATAAAATAATGGTCAGACCACAGTTGGCAGCTCTATTAGAATCATCTCTATGTGTGACAGAGTCATCTTGTTAAGAATGAATTATTGTTTGCATATGAGTTCATTGAACTTTTCAACATCTTATGTAGCAGTGACCCTCATATGCTAAGAGAGGTCCATGAAAGAAAAAAGTGGAGTAAAAATGACTGAAACACAGACAAGGGGATGAGGGACTGACAAATAATATGAGCCTTATTTGGGGCAAGAGCTACCAAAGAAGTCTCTGTAAGAATCAGAGCCGGTGGCTTGCTTGTAAAATCGGGTAGTTGTAGGACAGAAAGGGGTAAATGAATTCAAAAAGTTTCCTTGGTTGTCTAGTGTTGGTTATTGCTATGGGTTAGCAGTTAGTAGTCAGTTAAAGAATGTCAGGTGATGGGTAAACGTCTTTGTTGAATGGCCTTTACTTGGGGTCCACAGGGCAGGGAATGCAAACAAATCAGAGAAAACTTTCAGCTGGAAATTAGACTATTGTAGTTAAGGGAACGGTCACAGCTTAACTAAACTGGGACAGTTTTTACCAATGACATGGTACTGCCTAAATGTGCCAACTGGCAGTTTTAGAGAGAAGGACCAGAAAGACTACTGTGTGAGCTGTCACTTTACAAGAACACTCACAACTTGATTTCAGTCAAGTCTTGCTTCCTGCAAAAGTAGATTCACTGTGTAACATAGCCAACATTGCAAGATAAACCAAAGATATGGATTCTGACAAAGAATCTCTGAAGGTTTTTCTAGGGAAACAAACTCCATAGGCTGGGTGTGAGGACCTCGGTTTGATGTTAGCAGTCCTAATATTGCCCTTTTAGCAAAGGAAGAGACAATAAAAAGGAAAACAACGACAAAGGCCAGAGATTTGCACTGGTGCTGATGGTTGTTCTGGCTCTATCTGCTGTCCTATAGACCTCTCCAAATAGCTGATGATATTCCTTAGTCTTGCCTTTATAAAATGATTTTATATCTCTGGATTAAACTTCCTAAAATACAAATTCTCTTGAATTTTGAATGAATCAGCCAGAATAGAAGAATGGGGAGGGTTTTGGAGTCCTAGAGAGACTTTACTTAGGATAATGCCTCAAGACAAAGGGACAGGTGCTTGAGCATAAGGGAGTGGAAGGGTAAAGGGAACATGCAGCGAGAGCCCAGAATGGTCCCTTCTGGGAGGTTGCTGCAGGTGCATCCTGCTGAATACCATGTAGTTTCTTTCTATGTGTTTTCTCTTTCATCGCTAAAATTGAAATAAACTTTAGACACGCTGATGTAGAAAAATACTCCAGACATCACGTGCCAAAATGCAGTGTATCTAGATGGTATGTTTCTTCTAGTGCTATGTGTCCCCACACATTCTGTGTTGGATTAAATGATTCTAAAGTGTTAAGGCATAGAGCAAGAAGAGATGTCAGTGGCCTTCCATGACCTTAAAATGTGCAAACAAAAGGTATGTGAGGAAAAGAAGGAGGGGTACCCGAGAAACTGTATGAAAGTTGGTGGAGGCAGGGGGAAAGGTGAAAGAAAATCCAGAAAGCATGAGGAGCACTACATTTTCAAGCGTTTTTGGTTTGTTTTTAATTTCCCCAAGATAGAATCAATCTCAGTCTCAGAGCAGTCATAGGGTATTCAAGTGCACCTTACCGTCATGAAAGTAATGGTTCTGTGGCCTCTTAAACTACAGAGTGTACCTAATAACATCTTCTGCTACTTTTAGGATTTCATTACACATTTTAACAATGGAAAGTAAATACATATTCTAAAAAATGGAAGAAATAATTGAGCCTTAGCAGGATGTATTAATCACAGACATCTGTGTTATCCGATGTGTTGATTTTTAAACAGTAATTGGTAAAGGACATGAAGCTAGCTGTTTGAGACATCATATCTCTACAGACTTTCTTCCCTGTTTCCTCATCTATTACCTTTTGTCCTCACTGGTTTCATTAAGTATGTGACTTCAAGCTGATTATTTGAAAATATATTATCTATGCTTATAGAAGTACTTTTTTGCTGGAACTGCAACTCCACAAATAATGACTTGGAGACTTATTATTAAGTCGGAAAGCTTGACCATTAGGTTATGCATGTCCTGCTAGCTCTTATACCTTAAATTAACCTGCTTTTATTAATCTACATTCTTCAACATGGTTCAGTTACCTCTGTTCTGTACTTTATGTCCAACCTCTTCAGTGTCTCCCAGGTGTCTAGCCTGTAATACACACATCATATTCCTCCTTGCCCTCTCTCTCCTTAGAAATCCCACCTATCCTCCCCTGCCTAACTATTTGTCATTCATCTCTTTATGAAACCAATCACAGAAACACATTTTCACACAATATTCAAATATCCCACAATACTTTCCTGTTTTATCTAAATAAAACTATATACAATAAGACCAGTTATCAAGTAGGAATTACATTCACAATGTTTAGTCCATTTGTATTTAGCAAATTTGGAGAAAGTACTGTATTATCTATACTATCTTGGTGAATCTAAATTTTTATACCTACACCACCACTTTTTATCATAACTTGTATTACCATCATAAAAATATCTATTTAGATCTTAAAATACCTTTTTAGATAAAGAACTTAAGCTTCTTTCTCAACCTTATAAACTTGACATATCTTATGTAAGACTCTTTCCTGATTTTGGAAAAAGGGAAATCCATAACAATAACTATCTAGTCTTCAAACCCATCAAGGACCCCATCAAAGAGAAGAATATAATAGTCACTGAGTAATCAGAAAGTGCAGAGCAGTCAACTTCCAAAAAAAAAAAAAATAGAAATGACAGAGACAACTACCTGCCTGGACAGTCACCAAAGTTCCTCTGCATTGTTGGAGCATCCATCTTTGGCCTATAAGACTAGAATGTCTGGCAGACTTTTATGTGAAGCAGTGATTTTGAAGAACCAAATTCCTTGTCTTGCAAAGTTTAGCAGTCACTTTCTTTTGTATCCTGCTTATTCAATTTGGACAGCATATTGTCAGTAGTTGAGGCAAGACAGATTCTTGCCCAAATGGCTAGTTTTGCCACATTGATAGCAAACTCCATATGGAGGTTCTTTGGTGCCCATCATCCCTTTTTGAAGGAAATTGGTGTTGCCAAGAGCAGATTTGTCTGACTGTCGTGTAAAGCCTTACTTTATTAAAACATCTTGAATGACATATTCTGTAGGTTTCTGAAATGTTAGAAGACCATCTGTCTTTCTAAAATATTTCTCTCTTGGACCTTGAAAACATACCTACATGACTACAAGTTTGAATATTATAGATAACTAACTACTAACCTACAATGCTTAATCATCTTAAGCAGTATGTATTAATAGCATTTAAGGAATAGAACTTTGCATTATATTTTAAATGAGCTGTATAGGTCCAATACCTTAAACAAGAGTAGAAACATATACACAGTATTTATAACAAAAATAATCTTAATTTCTTAGCAATATACGAAAATCATTCCAATGTAAAATATTTGAGGCTATTTGTTTTTTAGTTTAAACACAGATTTAATAATCTACCCTTTTATCCTATCATTGTTTATATCCCTTCTCTTTCTCTTTTCAGAAAGAAATCCTTGAAATCAACCTCCTTTGTTTAATTTTTTTTCAGACCATGACCAGTAACACCATGAAACTAGGATCCCCCAAAATAATGACATACATCCATAGAATGACCAAAGCCACCCACTCCACCTTGAGAATGTGTGTATCAAGTTCTCTAGATTGTTAGATATCTCTAGCAGAAATCTTTAGATTTATGTTGTCTGGGGCCAATGGCATTTTTAGCGTCTCCTGAGAAAATGGGGATTATTAATCATCAAGTGTTGGGAAAGGTAGCTGTAATATTTTTGATTTAGTCTCTGTGTTATGTGAAAATATACAGCTTATTTGAAATCTTGGTTGGAGTGGTCTGTAAGGTTGGATCGTTTAGCTAGAAGCTTTTAAGTTAGACTGGATGTAGGATTATTTACTTATTTATTTATGTTTTAAATTTAAATTAGAAATAAGGTTGCTTCACATGTCAATCCCAGGTCCCTCTCCCTTTTCCTCCCTTCCTCCCACACCCTCCCACCAACCTCCCCAATACCGCCCTCCTTTACCCAGGGAGGGTGAGGCCCTCCATGGGGGTGTCCATAGTCTGCCATTTCATCCAGAGCAGGGCCTAGACCCTCCCCCCATGGATGTCGAATTTTGAGCAAACTGCAACAGAGGCATTCTGAGGGATTGGAAACCCCTGTTAATTGTTTAAATTACTATTCTGAAAACACATAAGCTTTTAACACACACATTGGCATTAACATAAGTATGGAATAGTGTGCATAAGTCAGCTAAAGATGATTTTCTTTATGTTTGAGCAGGTAACAGGTACCTTTTATAAGTACCTTTATAAGC